TCGGGCCCAATTCAAGGTGTTGGTGATGACCTATAAAGCCCTAAACGGCTTGGGTCCTGGTTACCTGAAGGAGCGCTTACGTCCATATTTGCCCAGTCGCCCCCTGAGATCGGCGGGAGAGGCCCTTCTCCGGGAGCCCTCCGTGAGAGAAATTAGGAGGGTGGCTACTCGGAGAAGGGCTTTCTCAGCGGTGGCGCCTAAGTTATGGAATGCGCTCCCCAGAGAGGTCCGCCTGGCGCCATCGTTATTTGTTTTTCGGGGCCAGGCTAAGACCTTTTTATTTAAGCAACATTTTAAATGCTAAATACAATTGAATTTTATCTGGCCAGGGCGGCTTATTTTATAATGTGTTTTAATTAAGATTATTTTATATGGATATTTTAACTTATTGTTTTATCTATGTTGTAAGCCGCCCCGAGGCTTCGGCGAATGGGGCGGCATAAAAATGTTTTAATAAATAAATAAATAAAATGAGGCAGACAGGCGTTCCACAGGTTTTGTGTCTACTCCCTGCAGTGCCTCAGGCAGACTGCCCTTTTCCTCCAGGCCTACCTAGTGGAGGACTCGCAATCAGGACAGGAATTCAGAACATGGCCTTTTCCCAGGTAGAACTGGCATAGAGAACGTTCATTGGTAGGTAGCAGTTTTCTCCCACAATGAACTTATTTTCTAAATGGCACCTTGAGTGACTTTGGGCAAGAAAGGAACGCTATTTTAAGAAGGAAGTATTAGCAAAAAAGGCATGGAATGAAGCAGCAGAAAGGGAATTCTGAGAAGAAAGGAATGGAGATTAGATGAGGGAGGGAGGGAGCAATTCTCAATAGGATGTAACTTTTAAATCAATACGTGACACAATACAGACACAGTACAAATATTTCCAGTTCACAACTATAATAATCGCTAATGCAGACTGTAAGGATTTGCTGGAGAATTGCCCTACTCGGTTTTCTAGAAAAGTGAGTATGTTGTCTTTTTATTATGCTAACTGCGGTAGCTGTAGTAAAGTAAGCAGACAGATCAAGTACAAACAAATGCAAAAGTTGAAGGAAGCAATGTTACCTGTTCCTTCTGGACTGATCCACAGAGTAAATCAGCTTTCTCAGCCAGCTGCCAGGAAAAAAAAAAAACAGCAGTGATTAATTTTGTGACTCAAGTTACTTCAATCTCAACAATGATAATAGGAAACAGAAATGCCTCAATTTCAAGCAGAAATCAGTTTTAAATGGCGGGTGAGGGGAGTTGCCTGATCAGAGTCTCAGAGTCTAAAATTTAGAGAATCTAGATCAGGGTGTAGAATTCTCTCATTAGTTTTCTACTTCTGAACCTCCTCCATAGGGCAAAACAGACAAAGAGCAGTTTCATAGGGTCAGTTCAGAAAAATGACACAAGGACAAAGGATTAACCCTCTGCCCTTGCCTGCAGTGTTATGTCCCCAACTGAAATCATGCTCCTCAGCTATGTTCATCTTTTTTAGCGGCAACGTGGAATACTTGATCAGATATCCCACCACCAAAACAGTTTTCAGGGTGAACTGAGAAGCAAAAGGTCATTTCACATACTATATGTCAGGTGTACACTTAAGATGTTTGCAGCAGTATTGGATACCTAAAAATGACCAATGTGAAAAATGCTCATTTGCAAATATGGGGATCATGCAAAAAAGTCCCAGGATCAGTCACTGACATTCCCAGGTGGGGCTGGGAACAACCCCCTTCTAGCGTCCTGAAGAGCCACTGCCAGTCAGTGTAAACACTGAGCCCAACAGTGCAATGCTCTAACTCACTATAAGGCATCCATTTAACATCCTACAGCACTGAAGAAGTGACTCAGGCCGCCCACAGAGGGAGCATCATGCTCCAGGGATCCCTGAAGATCTGCAGGCAAGGAAACTGGCTGCTGAAGTCTTGCTGGAGGAAATGGCAGTATCTGGAACAATGACAGAACTGCTCCTGTCTCCCACAGACTTCTGGGTGGTGCTCTGGTCAGTACTGAGGATCATAAAAGGGGTCTTGGTGGCAAGGAAACCTCCACAGTTTCTAGTAGCTTTGGTATGCAGGCAGAATGGAGTAGGTGGAGTATCTGTCTCAGTTCGAAATGGGAGAGTGGGAATGTTTCCTGTGATTGGTTCCATTGGATACAGACTACAGGTCTGTTGGGGAAGGAGCAACCTGCTGCAGTGGGGCTGAGGCTTCAAAAGGGGGTCATGCAGGCAGAGGAGTATCCCAAATCCCCCTTTCTGATACTGAAGCTAAGAAGGGTCCAGCCCTTGGTATCGATGGCCCTGATTCTAGAACACCTGCATGCCTCCATCCTGGCCAGCTGATGTTCCTTTGGATGCCACTTGTGTTTGGCAACCACAGCTCCTGCCTCCTTGGTTTTCTTGTCCAGCTTGTCTTTTTAAACGTGAGGGAACTTGCCAGAGTCAGGGGTGGCTAGAGCACTAGTTGCATGAGGCATGGACTGAGGCAGTGACAGAGCCTCAGCTGTTGAAGGGCAGGCCTGCCCCTACAGTTTGGTGGAAACCACCAACCACAGTGCTTTGCTGAAATGTTCCACTAGTGATTCAGAGCCCTCAGGGGAGGTGCCAATGTTGCCGTCTGGTCCACAATTGATGGATGAGTTCCAGTTATTGCGGCCTGATGTGTGGACAAGGTGCTTGGACAAGTACGTCCCACCACCTGTTTACTGGACCCTTGTCCATCGTGGCTACTTAACAAGGCCAAACACGGGATTGGGGCCTGGATCCTGGAGGTCATCAACACCTCTCTGAGGGAGGGTTGGGTACCTGCCCCTCTAAAGGAGGCGGTAGTCCGGCCAGTCCTAAAGAAGGCATCCCTGGATCCAGAGGTGGCCACCAATTATAGACCAGTGGCCAACATCCCGTTTCTGGGCAAGGTGTTAGAACAGGTGGTGGCGGGACAACTCCAAGCACTCTTGGATGAGACTGATTATCTGGACCCATTTCAGTCCGGCTTCAGACCCGGTTATGGTACTGAATCTGCCTTGGTCGCCCTGTATGATGACCTGTGCAGGGAGAGAGACAGGGGGAGTGCATCCCTGTTGGTTCTCCTGGACCTCTCAGCGGCCTGGCTGGGGTAATGGGCTGGATGAGGGCCAATAAACTGAAGCTCAATCCAGACAAGATGGAGGTCCTGTTGGTGGATGGTTCGGGCTCCGGGGTAGATGACTTGGACCTTGTCCTGAATGGGGTTGCACTCCCTCTAAAGGACAGGGTCCACAGTTTGGGAGTGCTCCTCGACCCAGAGCTGTCTCTGGAAGCGCAAGTGACTGCGGTGGCAAGGAGCGCTTTCCTTCAACTTCGCTTGATCCATCAGCTGCATCCCTGTCTGGAGAACAATTGCCTGGCAACAGTGACACATGCATTGGTTACTTCCTGATTGGACTTCTGTAACGCGCTCTACGTGGGGCTGCCCTTGAAGATGGTCCGGAAACTTCAGATGGTTCAAAATAGAGCTGCCAGGCTGCTGACGGGGACTGGGCGTTATTCTCATATAACCCCAGTCCTCTACCAGCTTCACTGGCTCCCCATCGAAGTCTGGGCCCAATTCAAGGTGCTGGTTATCACCTATAAAGCCCTTAATGGCTTGGGACCTGGATATCTAAAGGAACACCTGCATCCATATCTGCCCTCCCGCCCCTTGAGATCCGTGAAAGGTATTAGGAGGGTGAGTACCCAGAGGAGGGCTTTCTCTGTGGTAGCACCCCACTTATGGAATGTACTCCCCAGAGAGGTCCGCCTGGCACCGTCGTTATTTGTTTTTTGGTGCCCGGCCAAGACCTTTTTATTTAAATGATATTTTAATAATTGTTGATTTAATTTCTTGGTTTTAATATTGAGCCAGGATGCAGCCAGATTTTATATGTATGTATTTATATCTGTATTTATTTATGATGTTGGAAGCCATCTCGAGCTTATGTGAATGGAATGGCATACAAAAATTCCAAATAAATAAATAAAATAAATAATGTTCGGATTGACACCATGTCCCTCAGCAAAGCAGGGAAAATGCCCATCCATCCTCAGGAGCTTGCTGCCACACCAGACACATGTTCTAAGCAGGGCCTTAGATGTCATTGGGTAAGTACAAAAGGTAGAAGTAGAAGAAATAGTAGCAGGTGTGGAGAAAGACTGTGAGGAAACACTGTGAGGTTTTTTTTTACAGTATAGGGAAATAGGTATAGTCTGGAAATAGGTGACAGTTTGAGAAAAAAACAGAACATGGAAAAAAGTGAAACAGGTATATAGGAAAAGCTTATTATGGAAAAAGCAGGTGAAGAAGAGGGGAAGCAAAAGGAAAAGGGAAGGAAGAGGAGGAGGAAAAACTGCAAGGAAGAAATATTCAAGTCTTATGAAGAGGATGAGCACCAGCACCAGCAAAGGCAGATGAAAAATTGAAGAAATGGGTAAGAACTCCTTCCATATATGCCGCATGCTGGGGAAGGGATCCTGCCAAAACACTTTCAGCTATGCAATCAGCTTGATGGAAGGCTCCAGCAGGTACAGAGCCCATATATGTGATGTTCAGAGATGGCAAAGAAGAGCGTACAGTTGTGTATCATACCTTAAAAAGGGTACTGCAGAGTTGGGAAAAGGGCAGAAACGGGTAACTAAAATGATCGCTGCACTGGAGCAAGTCCCCTACGAGGAAAGGTTACACCTTCCGGATTGCTTAGATTCTTAAAAGAATGCCTTGATAGCACATTTTACTGCATTCTTCCCCGTGTGAAATCCTGGGAATTCCAAAATTCCTCCAGGTCTATCTTAAGGAAAACAGGAAATACTCTTTCTATATACCTCTCTGTAATTGCTGGAGTGGCAGCATTCATAGCTTCTTGACGCAAAATATTTAAACCACACAGCCATTTGTCAGCATCATCCTTTGTGTCAGCTGAAAATGAAACGGAATGAGAAGTTAGAAATTAAGGACTTTTCTGGGTTACATTTCTTCAGTGATTCCATTGCAGAGCTTTATGATAGCAAAGAAATTCTCTGGCTGACTAGGAAGTCTGAAAGCTACAGGATTCCTTTTCTGTCTAAACATGCACAGGATTGCAGAGTTAAATTTCTGCTTAAAATGCCTGCTTTCTTTTTTAATGCAAAATCCAAATTATTTTACATGGCACTGACAGTCTCTGACCTCAAAGAGCTTACTTAATAAAATTGACATGGGGCAGTGGAGAAAGTTGAATAGAGATTGGCAGAACAAATAAAGTTAATAATTACTTCCTAAATTTGCTGAAGCAGCAGCTCTGCTACCCTTTCCATTCTCTGAAGTTTGTACATTTCTTAGTTTTTAAATGTGCCACAAAAGTCTTCACTGGTTTTTTAAATTTTGACAAAGTTGGGAATGAGGATTAAGGGAATTGTAACCCCAGGATGAAAATCATTTACCTGCTAAACTTAAGGTGTTGAGAACAAACTGAGTACCATAGAAAATAGTGAAACAGTGCTCATCCTTTTGTCGTGCTGCTTTCCCACGCTCAAAATCCTTTGAATTTTTCCCTAGACGGATTTCCTTTATTTCCATCAAATCCACTGAAAAACACAAAGGAAAAGAAAGCAGAAGTGTCTATAAGTTCATTTCCAGAGGATGGATCTCCATTTGCTTAATCAGAAAGCACAAAGCACTATCAAAAGCTGCATTTGGGGTTGTCTGCAGGGATGGGGGAAAAGCATAAGAAAGTGAAACAGCAGACCAGTACACCTCAAGTTTATTTGCAGTATTTTCCAATTTGACTATTGGGATTCAAAAAGACATCCTGTAATAGATAAAGAGACAACCTCTTCCAAGGTATGTATGACCAAACGATCAATCTTGCCCTTCCAACCCCCACATGAACGCCCCACCCATCCTGCACCCTCAGGAGACAGCTTGAGTCTTTTGCAGAATGCATGGGGCTTCTTCCAAGGGCTGACATAGCCCAGTAACATCCCAACTGGCTAGGAAACTTTGACACTGCTTATTGCTTTCAAAGAAATCAGCCATTTGGAATGAAATGATGTGGCTTGTAATACTATGAATACCTGATTTTATACTGCTGAATTTTGAGGCATATCATTTTATTTTTTTAAGTTTTAATATACTATTTTAATCTATTTATATCTGATTCCCCCAGACATGTATTGCATATTTTATTTCATACTGTTACTGTTATTGTTCTCATATATTTATACATTTTCATTTTATGTTGTTCTTACTGTTTGTAATCTGCTTAAGAGAGTCCCCGGGACTAATTAACTGCAGGATATAGACTGAATGAATGAATGAATGAATGAATGAATGAATGAATGAATACAAGTGGGGCAACTGGGAAAGATCTAGATTTTTTATCTCAAAATGAGCACAGCTGAAGCATTTCAAATGATTTTGGGGACTGGCTTTTGTGTTGCATTACTTTTAAATGCTGCTCTGAGTACCCAATGTGAAGGAAATAGGTGGGATATAAATTATTATACAATGAATAAACTATGCTGCATGCATCGGAGGGGGGTATACTCTATCTCAAATACAAGTAATGTGCATTCTCCTGATAAAGCACTTATTTAAGAACTGCGGAAGTGGTTTTATTCCACTCTGCAGGCTGGATGCAAGAACAGATAGCTTTTCCTACTTACTCCTTGACAGGTCAAGGATTATGCTTAAACATACAGTATGAGCAGTTAAGGAACTTTACTCCTCATATTTTGTCCCTCAAGAGGGTCTACTAGGTTATAAAGTGTCTCAGAATGAAGAAAGTATTCTGATTAGTCTGAATTATGTGTTGTGCTATTTGCACAATGTTAAAATTTTAAGCTATTCAACTTTAAAAAGAAACTCAACATTGTGTGATAACTGGGACATTGCTAACATTATGCATGACCAATTCAAGTTAGATGGTTCCCCTACCATAAACTGTTTTGGTAGTGCCTGCCCTACATCTTGTTACATGCAAAGGTGCAGGAAAGTGAGGAGGAGAGAGAAAAACCTGTCTGTTTACAGTCCATTTCCCTGTTCTGTAAATGAACAGAATAAATGAATTTATCTGCAGTAGAAAAATCAGGGAGGAGCTGGAAGACCCATTGTCCTAAGATGTTGGGCAGTGTGGGGATGAATTTCTTTTTCAGTAGTTTCCAAAATCAGCTAGGACCTCTTAAATTTAATGTCCCAGATAGCCAGCTACTGGGTTGGGCCAGCCAGAATAGAATGGTACTTCTTGCATCACTGCTTCAAAACACCATATCTCTCTGAAGACCCAGTCCAAGACAGAGTCATATTTAAGTGCCATTGAAATCAACAGAACAAATCAGTCACATCTAACTTAAGCCTCACTGTTTTCAGTAGGATTTCAGTATGATTTATTTTCTCTAGGTAAGGCCTAGTGCAATTTTAGCCTCCCAACACTTCTGTGAGACCAGAGCGCCTCACCAACTGTTCCTTTTTTGAATGATTAGAGCACCACAAAGACCTAGGCATACTTGCCTAACTTCTCCTCTATATTACAGAATAGTTTCTTTTTCAACTGCAATCCTGACATCTATGGAGACATATATTAGGAAGGAGTCATGCTCTGCCTTTAGGACCAGATTGTATTTTATAGTTCACATAGGAAGTCAGGTGGTATGATCACACCATTTTAGTCTTGGAGCAAATAGCTTAAGAAGTTAATTATTAGGCAAAAACATGAGTGTTGAAAGAGACAGTCAGCAAAACGAAAATCATCCATCAGTTGTCTCCTAACTTTCAAGAGCTTGGTTCTCTAAACACTTTTCATACAGTAAGGCTAAATATTTATGTTTTCTTTTAGGGATCTTAAAATCTGCATTGATTATGGTAATATTTTCCCTGCTTTCTTCGGACTAATCTTCGAACATGTATAATACCTTGTGCACATTTGGCTGTGATACAACTTGAAACTGACGTGGATTTCATTGGTTTTGTTAGCACTTGAGGCACACATGGCAAAGTTACAAAATATGTTATCGTAGTACAAAAATTAAGCAAATAAAAACAAACTGGTACTTGCTGGTTGCATAAGTATTCACCCTCTTTGCTGTGACGTGCCTAAATAACTCTGTGACATACAACCCACTGGCTGCAGAAGTCAAATACTGTACAGGTTGAATGGAGTCCAATTCCAGTGTGCATGATCTCAAATTAAATACACTTGTTTCCAGAAGGTCCTAGAGTTTGTTGGAAAGGGTACAGGTAGTCCCCGAGTTATGAACGTCCAAGGTACAAACAACTCATACTTACAAATAAACTGCTATAAAGCCTATTACTTTTTAAAAATTACTGTGAAAAAGCATCATCACCATAGAGAAAAGAAGTGAAAGGGGAGAGAGGGAGAACAGCCAAAGCATCACCACCATAAAGATAGAAGAAGCAAATGGGGAGAGAAGGAGGCTTCCAAAGCAGGCCTTCCTGCCCCACACATCCAGAGAGAGAAACCTCCGGCATTTCCTTGCCAAAAAGAGGTGGCATTGGTGAGTTTGGGCATGGGGAGCGTAGAGATATTCACATTATTTTACTTTGATGTGGGCCCTGCACCCCTAACCTCATGAATGCGAAGGGTCAGCTATACATTATCCAACTAACATACGAATTTGACAAATTTTGTTTTCTCAGGACTGGAACTTGTTCATTACCAGGGGACTGGCTGTAGCTAAAAGCAGGCATCATGCAGACCAGTTCCAGAATAAAGTTGTGCAGAAGCACCAATCAGGGTAGGGTTATACAAAAATACTCCACATTATACCAGTGCTCTTCAACATTTTTATTGATGACTTGGACAAAAGAAGTATAGGGAATGCTTATCAAATTTCCATATGATGCAAAATCATCTGTAAAATTCAAATTGATCTTGATAGTGCTGGGATGAAAGCAACAGAATGCAATCACTAAGGACAAATGCCAAGTTCTACACTAAGGAAAGAGAAACCAAATGCACAGTTACAGGTTGGGAGATACTTGGTTCAATGATATTACAGGCAAAAAGGTTCTTGGAATTATTTCAGATCACAACTGAATATGAGTCAACAATGTGATGTAGATTCAAAAAAAGTAAATGGACAGCATTAAGAGAAGTACAGCTTCCAAATCAAGTGAAATACTGGGGCCCTTCTATTCACCACTACTTGGGCCCCGTCTTGAGTACTGTGTCAAATTCTGGGCACCACATTTCAAGAAACATGCAGACAAGCTGGAGAAAGTTCAGAGGAGGGCAAAAAAGATGATCAGGGGATTGGAAGGAAAGCCTTGTGAGGAGTCATTGAAAGAACTGGACATATTTAGCTTTGAGAAGAGAAGAATGAGAGGAGAACACATCATTTGACACGCAGAATAATGGGCTCAAGTTAAAGGAAGCCCGATTCTGGCTGGACATGAGGTGAAAATTCCTGCCTGGCAGAGCAGTACAGAAATGAAACCGATAACCTAGGGAGACTGTTCACTCTCTCACACTAGCAGATGCAACTGGACAACCATCTGAGAAGTACGATTTAACCTGAAGTGCTGCACTGAGCAGGGTGATGGAACTGATGGTCTAATAGATCCCTTCCAACTCTACTAGCTGAGAAATCAAGTTCTAGTCCACACTCAGCCATAAAACTCACTGGATGACTTTGGGCCAGGCATTTACTTTCAGCCTAACCTTTGTCACCAGCTTGTTGCTGTGAGGATAACAAGGAGAAGGGGGAAAGCCCTTGCAAGAGAAGAAAGGTAGAATATAAATGCAATGTAATAATAGCCTGGAAGCACTCTAAAGTACAGTGGTACCCTGGCGCATGAACCTAATCCATTGCAGGACTCTGGTCGTGACCCAAAATGGTCGTGAGCCAAGTTAAATTTCCCCATAAGGTTCAGTGTAGTAGTAGTAGTAGTAGTAGTAGTAGTAATAAAATTTATATGCCATCCTTGCGCAAAAGCCTCAGGACGGCTTACCTAAATAAATAAGAATAATAATATAAAACATAATACAAATAAATAAATAAGGTTATTCCATTCTGTAACTATTTTTTTTAATCAGAAAAATGTGAAGCAAAGTGACAAAGGACAACAAAGATCGGGCCATCTCCCCACCCCCTCACCCCAGGCATGAGCGCGGCCATCTCCCCACGCACCCTCCAGCACAACCATGATCGTGACCATCATCCTGGCACGCTGGGGAGGGAGAGATGGGCTCGATTGTGCTGGGGGGCGGGAAGATGGCTGAGATCGCAGTTGTGCTCCTGCAGGAAAGACAGGCGTGATCTCAGTCATCTTCCCCCCCCCCCCCCCCAGCACGATCACAGCCATCTCCCCACTCCGGGAGGTGGGGGGCAGAGAGACGGCTGTGATCACGGTCACCACCCAATGCAGAGTTTGCGACCTGAGTTAAAATTTTTATGAAATGTTTGTTCGCGACCTGATCTGGTCGTGAACCGAAGTGTTTGTGAGCCGAGGTACCACTGTATCTTCATCTGAATTGAGTATTTCAGACGCAACAATAGTGACTCCATTAAACAAGAATTCTATAATCCCAATTCCTACTTCGAAAATGCTGGCTTACCTCTTATCA